AACTACTTGATTGGCCCGCTTGTAGTCCTGATTTGAACCCAATTGAAAACTTGTGGGGGCTAATTGCTAGACGGGTTTATGCTAATCAGCGTCAATTTAATAAGGTCGATGAATTATGGGATGAAATTCAAAAAATATGGTACGAGATTGAACCTGAGATATTGCAAAATCTTATAAAGTCCATGCAAACAAGAATTTTTGATGTGATTAGACTGAACGGAAGTCAAATTAATTATTAATTATTAAATATGGTTGTGTTCTTGTACTTTTGTCACGGCGAAAAATTAATTTTTATCTATAGTTTTTTGATAATAAAATTTTTTCGATTTTTTCTTTATGATTATTATTATTCTGATAATTTTCTATAAGTTGATATGATTTTTAAGTTTTTATCACCACAATTACTGAATTTATCGAAAAAAATGAACTGTTCTTATATTTATGTCGAGCACTTTATCATATTACAAGTCTCAGTCTGTAACGTCAGATAAAATTAACTAACCCGCTAAACACTAGAAATGTCGTAAAGTTTATGGTTCATTATTTCCATTTTCTTCTTTTGCTCCTTTCTCAAAAATTAAAAATTTGATGAGATCGGTAATATAAGAAGAGGCAACACCCGATGATTCAACCAACAGCCAATCATAATCAGCAATGTCCAAAAATTCATCGATTTTTTGGATTAAGCAGAAAGTATATTTGAGATTCAGCGTCAGATCGAGCATCTTTGAACATCGAGCTTCCTTGGAGTTCGGCAAGATGTGATCCACCGGCTAATTCACCAACGGTAGTTGTCGAAGCGCCAATTGGTGAACCAAGTCCAGTGGCCTGTAAGGGTTGAGAAATATATTCCTCCAAGAAACTCATTGAGTCTTCCAGGTAATTGGTGTTTATCGCGATTTGTATTAACTGAAGTAAACCATGGCTCGGTTTCTTAATTAGAACAGATAAAGATCAGAAAGAGTTCGAGTAAAAGATTAGTTGACTTTCGGACCTAACCAAACCTAACCTAACCTAATCAAACCAAACCAAAAATGACCAAAATTCATTCACAACAGCACCAACAATTTCAACCAAATCTATCAATTGAATGAATTTTCTGAAAATTTTAGCCTGAAATAGTACTAATTTACAAAGACAAAAGGATTAAACTAGAGATTTACTATTTACTTGAAAGATTAACGAGAGGTCATTGTGAAAACGAGGAGACACCAAAATAATTCGCTTCGGATGGAAGCCGATCAGCTCAAGAACTTCGTCAAGTCCACTGGTCACCCAAAGATACAAATCGAGACAATCTTGGAGTCCATTTGGGTACTTGAATTCTGGAGCCAAACGATAATCAACACTAATCAAAGGGACACTGCGGAGCTTTATGGCCCAATCTCTTAAGTAGATCTGTTATCAAATTAGAATTGTAATTAGATTGGTAAATTAAAATCTGAAATTACTTTCAAATAGAAAATGGGATTGGAGCTTGAAGGATTAGAATGTTACATTTTATTCTCAATCAAATTCTATCAAAATAATCCTTCTTCATTCTTCACGAAATAAAGTAATTTGAAAAAATAACAAGTCTATTAAGGTGAGCGATTGGATTGATAAACTAATTGAGGGAAATTGTTAATAATCAATTTTTTTCGATAAATTAAAAAAGTTCCACAACATCGAGTTGCATGATTGTCATTAATTAACAAAAAGTAAAATATAAATTTCACAGATATTTAACATTTCAATTGTATGCTTAGTAGATTTAATTACATGTGTGTCAATTTGAGTCGCGGTTGAATACTCATTGCTTGAAGCTCTTGTAAAAGTAATTTATATGCATAAGGAACTTGAATATCAGCGAGGGATCGACTGGACTGACAATATGAGCACCATTTCTGATACCCAAGAAGACCACATTCTGTACACACGTCGACATTAAAGGCATCACTGGATAACATGAGTATCTCTCCAATAGCAACATACTAACGCCATGTCCAATGAGACAATCTCTTTCCATCTCCCCAAGACGTAATCCTCCATCTCTTGCTCTCCTTCAGTCGGTTGACGAGTGAGAACGGCCTTTGGTCCACGAGAGCGACCATGAACTTTATCCAAAACCATGTGTTTGAATTTTTGTAGATTGGACCAAAGAATATGTAAGCTGCTAATGGCTCACCAGTGATTCCACTGGTCATCACTCTTTTCCCATGATAATTATGACCAAACTCCTCCATTATGTCGATCATTTCTTGAATAGTTGTACCACCGAAAGCAGTTCCATCATGTAAAGTACCTTTGATGATCGCTGATTTACCAGCAACTAGTTCTTTCAATTTCCTGACAGTCATTTGAGATGGAAATCCGTGAGGGTTCATAACCATATCCGGACAAATACCTTCGCAATTAAACGGTAGATCTTCTTGAGATACAATTAATCCAATGACTCCTTTTTGACTATGACGAGAACTGAATTTATCACCAACTTCAGGTCTTCTCATTTGCCACGGTGGACAACGGAACTTTTTCCTTGGTGCCACTTTAATTGGTCCTTTTCCGGTGACATTGGAGACAAGAAAGTTCATTGCGATATCTTCACAATTCATCTGAGCATCTACTTGATCCTTGATTACCTTTGGCATCTCAAAAGTGTATAAATAATTGTAAAACTAAGAAAGAAACAACAATTAGAAAACTTCGATTTGAAAGGTTCCATCAATTAAATCAATTAAGCAACAAACCTTATGATAAAAGCAGCTCCTGTTAGAACCATGGAAACGTCATTAGTCCATTCAGACTCGTAGCGATATTTAAGAGTAAAATTATTCCACCGATGAACCTGAGAAGGAAAACCAACGATTCGATCAGCAAACTCTCCATACTTGAAAAGCAAACTCAAGTTCGTCTGGTGTTAACATTATAATATCGTCGTCGATGGCAAGAATGGCCTCAGTTTCGATATCTTTAAATGAATAGAATCGATTGGATAATTTGTTCTTTTTAGTTTTGATCACTTTCAACGGAACGCTAATTTTAGGCCATTCGTCGGCAAGAGGAGGGTCTTTTTCTTGATTATTCCAAATCACTAAAACTTTCACACAACTTGGAGCTTGAACAACTCGATGAATGACTTGGTACAAACTTTCCACTCGGTCGTAAGTGAGTATCACCGCTGTGAAGCCTTTATAAGGTCTAGATGATAATTTTGGGTTAATCAGAGAAAGAGGTTTTAAATGGGAACCGATTTTTAGATGATTCCATTTAGATCGAGTAATCACCGATTGTGGGAATATCCTTTCATTTATCAAAGATAATGTTGACAACGTAATCGATTTAATTGAGCTAAAATATCGTCACCAAATAGAAACCCCTTGTTCCTTCATCTCAGTGATACGATCGGTTGATATATCGTTTAAAATGTTCATCAAACGATGAAAAGCATGTTCAGTAATTCTGATTGATATACTTCGCCAATCGATTTTATCTTGAAAGGGGAGCACATAATTGTCCGTAATTATCACCGGAATACAGCCCATCATGAGAGCATCGCTGAGAAATGGTGATCCTAAAAATGGCGTTTCCATGAATAAACAGAAATCGGCAGAGGTTAAAATCTCAGGGTATTTTAGTTTCAGATTTCTTTGGTTATTACATCTCCAGGAAGATATATTAACTGTCAGATCACATTGAGATTCCAAAAGGATTAATTTATCAGAGTTATCTTCCTCCATTTTGATTAAAATTTTTTTGGCAACCGGATTAATAAAAAGATTCATTTGTGGGCACATTAAAAGCCAATGTCTTCGACCGTAACTGGTTAATTTGACCTCATCATCGGGTGAACGAAAAATGTATTGATTACTAAAAGGACTAAACACTGGTATTGATAAATCAAATTGTGGACGGAAAGACCAACTATCGAAACCTCCTGAGGCAATCATCGCTTTTCCAAGTTTAATATTTAATCGATGGTTATAATCGGGATCAGAGGATGGAAGAAAATTAAAGATGAGATAATTTCTTCCATCGCCATTCCAATGAGATAGAGAAGCAAAAATTTTCGAAATTTCTTCAGGTTGTAAATAATTTTGATTTAAAGTGTCAACTGTTGGAATGAATATACATGCCGATCTTGGATCATCAACAAAATAATCACTTTCTTGGATCGCCTTCAATAGTTGATGAAATTCCTCAGTAAATTGAGCCGAAATATCTAAACCACCGTTGTCTTGATATCTTTTGATTGGATAAAGGTAAACTTTAATCGACCATCATCTGGATCACAAAGATAAACATCGAAACAGTTAAAATGATTACATTCTTTCACCGTTTCAATTGCTGTTGGTCGAGTATTGCCAATGATGATTGTTTCACTATTTTCTGGATCGATTAATCTGAAAGGTTCATAGTAATGGTCAATATCATATCCATTGTCGGAGTTTCTGTTGGAGAATATATTGATAAACAGGAAATAGATTGCTTCAACAGAGCCAAGAAGACAAGAAAATAGAGTGAAAATTTAACGATCAATCTGATTTGCTTCTTGATATAAGAAGATGAGAAGAAATAAAATTTCATTCTTCTAGATGGTCCAAAGTAAATCTCATCTGTTTCAACTTAAGAGACAACATATCAGGAGCCAAAACCAATAGAAATATTTCATCACTGTAACCGAATCTATTAAATAAAAGAAATAATAATTATTAATCAATCGGTTGATAAAATACAAAAATTAGTGAGAAAATAATTAAATGAATGGGAAAACAGTTCTAATGAGCGAAATCTATTGGATTAAAAGTAACATTTAATGACCATTAATTACCTTTGATTAATAAGTATTGCAATTTGAAAAGAAATCAACAAAATTGACCATTTAAAACCACAATTAAAACGCAATTAAGTGAGTTAATTAAACTCAACGGTTGAGTTTCAACCCCAAGAAAAAACTGAAAAAATGTAAACATTTCACAGGAAAACAAAGAAGGCGCCAAGTTTAAAATTGAATTTTTATTTTCGTGAACATTATGATATTGATAATCTGAGAATCTCGACAACGCTAATTGCACTTATATTTAGATTTTAACTCTGTTAACAGAAATTCAATTACATGAAGCTTTTTGAGTAGTCACAATACTTTTATGTCTAGTATTTGGCAGTTTAGGATATACTTTTGGATCATTAAATTAACGAGCTAAGAAATTAAGATCATATTGATAATTTAAGTCTCGATTCGCGATTTAAATTTATCAGATTACTAACAATTTAAAGGGGAAACATTTCTAACAGTTGAGGTTAATTATTAATAAGATTATTCTTCGTTGGCGTTAATTTCTGCTCAACTTTCCTTCCAGGTCAATTCAATCGGTTTTCCAATTCGAGCTGATTCCGTACACGCTTGAGCTACTTTAGTGGCCGCCATCACCTCCATTGGTTTTACTTCAATTGCGCTCAAACCTGAAAAAGCAATTCGTTGATTAGTATTGGGCTAATGAGAGGTTTATAATTTACCTTTGATACAGTCGACAAAATGTTCTAATTGATTAGTATAAGATTCAGTAAATCGGGAAATATGACAATGATGATAAGGGACTGTAGTTGATCTCGATTCAGAATCTAGAGTAACATAAGTTGGTCGTGTTGAAGGTCCAGTTAACAGACCTTTAGAACCGAAAACCTCGAGTCGTTGGTCATAACCATAAACAGAAGATCGAGACATATCGATGGTTCCTAAAACACCAGAGGTAAATTTAAGAACCACAACAATAGTATCGTAATCACCTGAATCTCGAATCTCAGGATCAAAAGCTGTCCCCGTGGCGATAACAACATTTGGATATTGACCAACAATCCAACAGATCAGATCAATGTCATGTATCGCTAAGTCCAGGAAAATATTAGTCGATCCTTTATAAGCTGAATGACGAAGTGAATCTCGGGGACACATTTTAACCCCATGAATTGTACCGATCTCTCCCTTTTTGACACGATGTCGAACGATACGAAACGCGGGATCGAACCGTCGATTCATAACAGTTAACACAGGAAGATTTCGTTGTATTGCTAATCTGAACACTTTTTCAATGGTTTCGATGCGCTCGGCTAATGGCCTTTCACACATGACCGCTTTTCCAGAGCTTCCAATCATGGTTGTTTTGAGTATTAAACCCATTTGTCAAATGATTTGTGTTCATCAAAGAGTAACATTGAGAATGAAGAATCTCCTCCTCATGATGAAATTTCCTCATCGCGATTAAATTGCCAACAAGATGTTCAAATGTTCATCTTATACAATCTTACTCCAGCCCCAGGTTTGATTCTGAAAAAAAAGAACCTTGAATGACTGATGATTGAAAATTGATTTATTGATTCTTAAGTTTGTTATTAATCTTCTGATGAAAAAGAATCTTGATTGAATTTTCTCATCATCAGAATTTCTCATGATGATGATCCTCATCTTCATCATGAATCTCAATTTCAACCGATTATACTTTTCAGCTTCACTACTTGAAACTACTCATACTCAAGGGTGAAAACATAAACACACAAATTGTATAATCTTTAATGTTTTACATCTGAATATCTGCATGGTAATGTTTCCATGATGATTCTGAATCATTCTCTATGTGGTAATCATCGTTAGAATAAGAAGAAGAAGAGAATGAATAAAAAGAAGAACTGAATCTAAAATAATTCTTATTCTAATAGTTGTATTATTATTATTTATTTATTCAGAATTCATTTAATCACATGTATATCATTTTTCTGCCTTCATACTTACCTCTGTATCTCACCCACTTTGACGTTTCTTTGTGTCCTAACGAATTGGTTGATTAAGTTTCAACGATCTTCTCATTGTTACCATTATTATTATTGTTGTTGTTGAACGTATTAGTGATAGTACCATGAATTAACATGAATCTTATTGAAAAAAAGTATAAAAAACTAAACTCATTCTCATTTAACATTTTACAACATCAAACGATTTGATTATCACAATCATCACTTTAGTCATCATGATGATTATCATGAAGATGCTCAAACCATTGAGAATGTAAATGTTATTAACTCACAGTTGAGAAAAGATGATGAAAAGGACGTGGAAGGAAGAGAGATGATGATGGAGAGATGAACAAGGGAGAAGGACGAAAAAGGTTCCGATAGAAAGACAAGAGGGAGATGAAGAAAAAAAATTGAAACATTTTTCATTGTTCCTATTATAGTAATAATAATATGATTTAATGTTCGTTTGATAATGTATCTTTTTATTGTTATTTTATCATGACTGTTCATCATCTTCATCTGGCTTAATCAAACAAAGATTTTATTGTTATTGTTTATAAAATTTCAATTTCAATCAACGAATTGATTCAGAACTTTTCTTTTTTTAGTTCCATCAAATTGACTTGGACGATTAATCGATCGAGTTATTAATTTCGAGAGAAATAAATATTCTAACTTTCTCATGTCTCTCTTTCTCTTGATTTCCTGATTGACTGATATTAATCATCTGATTAACTCATTTTCAGGGAATCACTTGCATCGTAGTTGATAATTAAATTTCATGTCGTTTTTTATTTAAAATTGGGTCAAATTAATATAAACATCATGTTTATAGTAGTTGCGATGAAGTAATTTAACAAGTTAACAAGTAATTGTTAATCTATGTGAATATTTAATCATGATTATAACAAGCTCACCGTAATCACCATGATTGGTGAAACTTATTATCAATATAAATTTTCCATTTTCCTATTTTTACTCAGATTATGATTAAATGATTATCATGGTTTGATATGGGAAATGAATTGACAATTTGATTCGTTGGCAGTTTTTTTTTGCTCATTGTTATCAATTTCCCATTCAATGTCTATATCCTTTTGAAAGGATTCTTATGATATTGTGAGTGATGATTTGGATGAGGATCATTGATACACATGATACATATAATGATGATATACAAGAACGATAACTTAATCTTTTGTCATCAATTCTGTCACCAGTTGAATACCTTTAAGCTGATGAGATTCTCATGGGTTTTCATCCTACGTTTTCGTATAATTTTTATCAACATCGACCCTTGTACTGCCCTGGTAGTCCTTAATCTGGCCTTGTTCAGGGCTCTTCGTCGTGCCTAAAGAAAGAGGAAATCGTTATTCAAAGAGAATCGAAGGTCAGAATGTAAAAAACTGACACCAATTGTACAATCCTAATGTTAATCGTGGGGGTTTAGGTTTTCCTGGCCACCGAATTACCTTTGGCCCTTACGACGGTTCTCCATGTGATTCAGAATGCTCTTAAAATTCATATTGCAGGCTATGAATATCTTAATCTGATAATTTGGTAAGAGTTTCGTATTAGGTCGGTCGATTTTTTCGATGAAACTTTGTACCCATATGTATCATTATGTGACAAATCGATTGGTGCTATTTATTTTGCGCGAAAACGACCTCTAGCAGAGATATGCGTTTTTATGTGAATTTCGGTGCTAACGTTATTCTGTGAAAATGAGCATGCGCAGAACGATGAAACTTTTCTTGATGCCTGGAAAAATTATGACCAATCTATATCTAAAGCGATTTTGGTCATATGTCTCATTCAAAAGTTAGCAATTTCATGTATTAGAAATATAAGCCTAAACTATTTCATTTTGTTTAGTTTTTTGCTAAAACTAAAGCCTTTAAGGTGTTTTAAAACACCAACATAAATAATAACAAATTAGTTCCTTTAAAAAATGTTTTGAAATCGATTCAAATTGGTTGATGAGATCGTGAGTGACCAGGAGAAAGCGATTTGATGGTCACAAGAGAATGGACTTTAGGGAGAAAGCTCGGTACAATCACCATAAAAAGGATATTGAGTTTGATGTCAAAGTGGCGCAATGGGTAATTTCGTGTGTCATAAGGCACATCCAGCCGGGATGTTTGTTAACACTTTTACCCTTGATCATGAAGGGAAAAAGGTTCTCCAAATCACTTGCGTGGGCTGATTTTGTAAAGAGTGTTTCACTTAATTTCAGACAAAATGGGAAGTTACAATTAGAGTATCTCACTAGAGATTAAGTAATAAGTAAGTGAGACAATTGGTAAGAAAGTGATAATCACAACAATTTTATCCTTTCTTGGCCATTTTATCAACAAAAATTCAATTTTTATTTTGATTTACATTTAATCTCAGGTAAGACGCGCTGATTGTAGCTTCCCATCTTGTCTGAAACTAAGTGAAACACCCTTTATTATGTTATTTAATTGTTTACCTTAACAAAATACTAAGACATTATCATTAGTTATTCAAAAGGTTGATTAGTACATTAGTTTTAAAGTGATTAAGGTAGGGTAATGGACGTCGATGATAATAGATTGGCAGTGAACCAAAAGATTAGTTAATCAATTTCAACAGCTAACGATGAGAATGCTAATTATTAGCACGGAGAAAGAAATAAAAGTTGATGTAATTTGCTCACAATCAACTTGATTGTTAACAATTAACGCAGTTTGATGATCCTTGGTGAATGAATTGTGATGAACAAGTTGGAAATGTAATCTCTTAATCTTGATTATGTTTTGAAACAATTAACAGTACAATTTATGATAATCTTTTAGAGGGATAATAAATGAGTAGGTAAAAAATGGAAGTTAATTTGTTAGCGTGATTGTGATTATTAAGAATCCAAAATCATAGGAAATTAATTGTTGTCATTGATCAAATAAACTAATTTCATTGATTGATTTTCTCCCTCTTTTTGATTATGATGGAGACAAAAGTTAATTAAGATTTTGATGCTCCATAAAATGTTAGAATAAACTATCGTAAAGATAATTAGTCTGATATTTTAATTGTTTCAATCAAACTTGTTGATTAACCAAGTTGTCTGGTGAATAAAACGTTCACAATTTAATTTGTCTGATTGTTAATTCTGGTTTACAATGTGTCTCTGTGTCTCTTTTAAATGGACCAAAGAATTGATGAGAATTAGAGAAATCAGAAAATCTTTTTCTTTCCAATTCACTTACCATACCATATTATATTATACAATTCTCACCTTTTTCATCCTCATCCTCATCCCCTTCACTCATCATCACCTATCAAAGGAAACTATAACCTATCGAAATATGAAATTCACCTTTCTAATTGTTATAAAAGTAAAACTTATTGTTAAACTTTAACCTAAAATCAAATTAAACGTTTAATGATAATATTAGTCCATCAACAAAGACTTTTATCAAGCGTTGCTCTCAAATTCTCGATCAAGCATTCGCTTCAGTGATCGCTGATGTTATTTATGAAGTGTTCCTTCATGATGATAGTACTTTACCTCATCTGCACCTGATTTCTTTAGAAAAATCATCATCTGTACATACAAAATCCCCATCTCCATCATCATCTTCATCTCCTTTATCATCAACAACAACCTTATCGTCATCATCTTCAATCATCACTACAACGACAACGACAACATCAGGAACAACAACAACAATCACAATCCATAATAATAAGGACGAAACAAATGGAGGAGATTCATCTCAAATCTCTAATGATAATAAAAGAGAACAAGCTGATTCATCACAATTCTTATACCCTTAATTAACATGTTCCAAAATTGAAGGAACAATCAAGCATTGTGATAATCCGGATAATGAGCTGGAAAAAGCAGATAAAGAAGACACAAATTCTAATGATCAAAGATGCAACGAAAATCTATTGGTCACAATTATATTTCTCTGTTAATTAACTTGTCCTGAACTTTTTTTCTTTTCTCAAATCATTGTAACTTGGCTGTAATTCCCTATTCAGAGTCACTAAATAGAAAACAATTTTGATAATTTATTACTTCTAGATATTTATCTTTTTCCTTCTATTCCATTATATGTAAATTCTTATTTATGAAAATTTTCCCATTAAATTAACTAATTGAATCTTTTTCGCGATTTAAATCTCTTAAATCTTAAAAATGAAAATTGTGTTCGATCCTCTTAGAATTATGATTTGTCGCATAAACTAAGAGGGCGGCACTTCCAGAGTTAATTTCTAAGTTTCAATTTATAAACAAAGAGAAAAAGAGAGAAAGAAAGAAAAAGATAGACGAAAAAATATGAGCAAAGAAAGGGAAAAAGAAAGGGAAAAATGATAGTAGTGACTCTCGTGCCT